AACTTGGCAAAGAAGTCCAAAACAATATGTGCAGTTTCAACATGGCTGAGAGAGAAACTACTGAAACCGCAGGAGAGGAAGCTGCCAAACATGCATCTCAGACCATCTGCTCACATTATTCACAAAGGACAGCTTTCGGAGGAGAAATTCTTTGTGACAAACTGTAGCAAACCTGCTGCTGGGCTGCAGGGTACCATGCATCTCATCCTATATGATCTAGGTATTCCCTGAGAGGTAGCTGTTACAGCTGAGGAGATGGGCCTGGAGCTCACAAAGCATTGGGAGTGACATTGATTGCACCGTGCACCTTGAGGATGTTAGTAACATGTAAAACTGGCCAATCTTGTATTGTTGCTTCCTTACTGTGGAAGAATGTTCCAGCTGTTCAGAAAGGGTCATCAGTTGATAGTCCAAGGAAAGCCCAGATGATACCATGGCTGATATTCCAGAGATCCTCATGTATGCTGGAAGTGACCTGCTGTCAAACAAAACAGATCACAACGTGTCCTTCAGATTGACAAGCAGCATGATGAGGGCAGAAAATTAGAAGAAACTGGCATAGAACCATTTTGCTTGTAGACCTTGTTCCACTGTGCAATTAGAGCATGGCTTATCATCTACCTCAATCTCACTTTCCTGCATTATCTCCGTATCTCTGGTGTCATAAGTCTCCAGACATCCATTGGTTTCTGATTTTGAACCTTCTCAAAGACTGAGTTTGTGCATCTCTCCAGGGTAAGAGAATTCCAAAGACTCACCACGTTCTGAGTGAAGAAATTCCTCTGAGAAATGTTCCTGTAAGAGCTGGCACAGTTGCTTTTCCATTTTCACAAGACAAATTCAGACCAGTTCCATCGTTTCCAATTTTACAGGATTTTCCTTTGCCTTGAATTGCAAAGGGACTTCTTGAACATCATCAGATGAATAATACAATGTTATATAAACATGTAGATACAGTTTAATTTGTAAAATTGATTGGAACTGGTCCATAATTGCATCTGAGTATTTCACGGGACAAAGAAAAGAATTTGGGCCAATTGAATGTGATTTGAGTAATATGAAGAAGTTGTATAATGCATGAATTTCCTCTTGTTGTAATATTAACAATTTTTCCTTTTTTTTGGTAATTATGGGATGTGTTCTTTCTGTAATCCTCGGTATTCCAAAGCCCTCAGCAAACCACAACTTCCTGATTTATCATTTCTTCTGTTTCTGACCTTGATCGTGTTCAGTGCTGTCGACCTTGACTCTTCACTTCAATTTTTTAATATTAAAAATTTAACAATTCTGCTTTTCAAACTTCAGTAATAATTAAAAAATATTAAAAAGAATGACCTTTTTTAATATTATAGCTGATAGGAGTCAGAAGATACAAGATGATTGTTAATTTTGCAACAACAGTTTGTAATTATGTACAAGGAATGTTTCAAGATACGTTATATAAAGAAGATACCAACACAGTGGACATGAAGATAGGGCAGAGAAGAGAGTAATGGGAAAACAAAAATATTGTCAAATAGTAAAGTTTTCAGGAGGATTTTAAATCTAGCAGTGCCTGTGAGAGTGGTTTCTTCGCCTTTTCCTCTCTTCCCCTTTCCTTTCAATAGGGAATTTACAGAGAGAACACATTCCACAGGGAAATGAGGGAGAGTAGCTTAGAATTTTGTTTAACTTATCCACAAAGAAGTAAGGAAGAGAGTTCTGGATGTTTTCGCCTCATAGGCTGCAGTATTGCTCACATACCACGCTGTGTCCACCTGCCCACGAACCTATTGATTGGTTGTTACAAAGCTGAGTGCTCCTGAGCCCACAACACCAATCAAGGAAATGTCTCTGGACAAAATTGCCCTGAACACACAGCAGCTCCATTCTGTCTGAAATGCTGCCCAAGCGCTGGAATGAAGTAAGATAGCTAAACCCATATTGTCTCCCAGGAGCCTGTTTTTACATCTTCTTACATAGCTTCCTTGATTAAAAGTAGCATCTTCTACAATTTTTAGTCCATGGTACAAAAAAGGAGTGGTCTTTCCACTGTCCGCATTCTTACCCTGCATCAGAAAATCCTGGTGGAATTGGAAATGGGGACAGGGATCCTGAATAGACCCCTCTAGTGTTCCCTCCCCTTTTCATATTGGCTGCATGAACCTCTGAGGCCCAATGCTTGGCAGCATCTTCTGGAACTGGAAATGAATGCAACAATCAGCATGTCAACATCAGAGCATTACATGCAGCTGCACAGTTTACAGGGAATGTTGGATCCCATCCATTATTCTTTAAAGCCCTTCTGCATCCATTCCAACACAGAAAGAGACATGAAATTCTAGGTCATAGTGTCCGAATGAATGCCCAAATGGAGCAGAACAGGTCTTTGATTTTTGATTTGATTTATTGTTCAGTAGAAATCTAGAATTAAATTATTGCAAAGAAGTGTATACCATTAGATGTGAATTTTCAACTGAACAAACATTTTCCGGATAATCCTGAGTGGGAGAGGACTATAGTCAAGCTCATACCTACTGGAAGCTACATCTATTAACAACCAGGATCTTATTCTTTGCAGACGGGAAGGACTTGTACACACACTGAGCCAATTAGGAGACTGGTTCATTTCTCAGGACAACGCTCTGAACATTCTGAACAACCTGATTTAAAATTTAAACAAAGCCTAGTTGTTAACTGTCAATCACCATTAATGGGGGCTTTCTGCATGTCCCATCTCTACCAATCAGAATCCACTTGCCAATCAATCTGCAATCTGCTCTTATCAGTATAAATGTTGGTTTTCTCCTTAATTTTGTATTCTTGTGAAAGGTCCTGATGAGTGCAACTTGAAAAGCTTCAACAAAATCTGCCTTTTTTTCAGCAAAATCAAGTTCTGTGCCACTAAGAACTGTTTGAAAAATAGAATTGGAGTTGAGGTGATATGTTTCTCAGATGAGTTGGGACGTCTCCCATTCATTTATGAACTAACCTGGGAAAGTACATTTTGAATTCGTTTCTGGTATTTCTGCAGATCTTCTGTCAAAATCCCAATGGGCGAACAAGAAATCCACTTGTGGAAATCGATCCCCTAAAAACTAGAACTAATTATTAAAAATGTGATCTTGTACATCTTCATTTCTAAAGGAGCTTCCTGTCGACTAATCTGAGTGAGGCAGGTATTAGAAAAGTTTAAGTCTTTGGTAACAGTCACTACATGCTACTGTGTGGTATCCCTGATGATAGCCTGACAAACAGAATCTCACCCTGTCACATTGCTCATTTACTTCGTAGGCTTTAAGTTTAAGTATGTTACAAAAAGTCACTAGGGGATCCAAACTTCTTTCAAACCTTCTAAGTGAGCTATCTCAGAGCCTGTGATCATGCTAGCTTATCTTCTGTCTCTTGTAGGAAATGTTTTGTTTGTATTAAGCCTTCATGCTTCAGTCTGCATTAGCTTGTTCCTTTTCCAGAAATCAGTCTGATTACTGGCAGTATTCTGAGGCAGATTAAAAGCTATTTTCTCAGAGTAAACTATCAGAAATCAATGTGAGAAGCCTGCATATATGATGACATGATTGGAATTTTGGATAAGTTTTTTTTTACTTGTTTTAGAATGTGGCTATCACTGGCTAGGGCAGCATTGATTGCCCATCTCTGATGGCTGCAAGTTGGGAGTTAACCACATTGCTGTGGGTCTGGAGTCACATGTAGGCCAGAACAGGTAGGGACAGCAGATTTCCTTCCCTAATCCCCATTAATGAACCAGATGGGTTTTTACAACAATGATGGTTACAAGGTCACCATTAGGCTAGCTTTTAATTATAGATTTTTTTATTGAATTCACATTCTACCACCTGCATGGTGAGACTTGAACCATGTCCCCAGATCATCAAGCTGAAATTTGTGATTCAGAATCCAATGACATTACCATTACACCATCAACTCACCCTGAGGCTTATGAAAAGTTGACAGGTGGGAAACCAGGGAAGAGAGAGTTAGAGAAGTTGGGCTTGAAGAGATGAAGGTCTAAATACAGGATGGGAGACGCAGAAGAAGAGACAGGAAATTCTGCAGAAACAATGGAAGAAAGCAGTGTTAATACAGAGTCAGTGTGGAGGAGATAACTGAATTTGAGGTTAAGCAAAACTCCAAAGATCTGCAGTTCCTAACTTGGCACCAAATGGTAGCTGGGACAGTGATTGAAATTGAGGCCAGAGGCATGGCAGTGTTGCTGGGAGTCACATAAATTTTGCTGACATTCAACTTGATGAAGTTTTGGTTTTTCTAAATTTTAATCTCAGAAAATCTTTGTTGCATTTCAACCTACAATTCGTCCCTATAAAACCCTGCTCAGAATAATCTGAGGTCACAACTGTTGAAGGATGAAGAGTAAAAGCAGCATCCCTTCAGGTGCCCAAAGTATTTATCTTTTATCATTTAGAATTGTTTCAAAGGGTAACTCCTATATTTTCTTAAAATGAACCAATAGAGGTAGATGCACACTCAGAATTCTGTTGAATATTCTTAACTTTATTTCTCCAGCAAAGTAAGAAAATAAATTGCAAGCAATGTGAAGCAAGCCAACACTATTACTGAGTATCGTAATGATATTAGAGGCAATGAGTGCTGGAGAAAATGTCATTTATATTCTTTCCAACAGTATCTCCTATTATTAGGCTGTTCCAAAATCTGCCTATGAACTCCTATAACTTAAAGGGTGGCATAGAAAATGCTACTATCTAAATATGTAAAAGATTATTAACATTCATCAAAGTTCTAAAAATCTAAGATGAAAGGACACCCATTGCTACTGGATAATTTTCTGTGTTCCATTACGAAGTTTTCAACAGTTATTACCAATCCATTCATATGAAAACTGTATTATTCTTGGTAATCATATCCATGAGACACACTATTAGTCTTCACATTTAATCGACAATATGTTATTGACTGACACAATCTGATATTTTGTAAGGAGCAAAGGAGTAAAGTTAATCTTTTGTTTTTCCTTTCTGTAGGAATGATCTGGTCAGAGTGTAAAAAAATGTGGTCACAAGGCCCGAGGGAATATTTGCTGGAACTGTGGAACTTATTAGACTTTGGAATGCTAGCCATCTTTGCAGCATCATTCATAGCACGGTTTATGGCATTTTGGCATGCTTCCAAGGCACAGAGCTTTGTGGATGAAAAGATCAAAATGGATTTAGCTAACGTGACACTGCCTACAGAAATAGAGTACTACACACTTGGTCAGTCTGATGCATCTTCTACCAATCTTTATTATGCTGTTTAATTAGCTCAGAAAGTATAAAAGCCAAATTGTTAGGTCTTTTACTGTTTAACCACATCCTACTGATTGAAAAATAAAATTGCTATAAGGATAGGACCAGTATCTACTCAAGCATCCTAATGAAATCTCTGTGCATTGTCTATATCGAAAATCATAGACCACAGTTCTCAGAATGGCATAATGTGCAGTTCATTGGATGGTGAGTTTGCAATCTCAATATAAAAAAAGCTGCTCTCTGACATGATGAAAACCTGTTTCTTTAACTGGGAGTAAATCGATGATACAAAGCTTTATAATTATGTTAATTATGATTGATTTAGTTCTAATATTTATACAATGGGCAGCATGGTGGCTTAGTGGTTAGCACTGCTGCCTCATAGTGCCAGGGACCTAGGTTCAATTCCACCGTCGGGTGACTGTCTGTGTGGAGTTTGCACACTCTCCCTGTGTCTGCGTGGGTTTCCTTCCACAGTCCAAAGATGTGCAGGGTAGGTGGATTGGCCATGCTGTAGTGCCCAGGGATATTTAAGTTAAGTGAGTTAGACATAAGGAAAATTCAGGGGTAAGGGAATGGATTTGGGTGGGATGCTCTTTGGAGGGGTGGTGTGGACTTGTTGGGCCGAATGGCCTGTTTCCACACTGTAGGGATTCTATGGTTCTAAATTCTAAAGCTTGTTAATGCTTTACTGTTTCCATGGTGAGTCTCCTATATTGGCCAAAAAAAGGAATTCCTACAAGTATTTTATCATTGCTGTGATATCTTGAAGTGAATGCCAATAATGAGTGCTTGCTACTTGCATGAAGTTAAAGTGAAGACATTATTTGTCACCAACACAGTGAGGCAATGTTGATATTCGGTTAAAAACATAATGGATAATGTTGGCCTGGGAATTCCAGCTTAACTGATACTGTACAGTGAGAACAATGGTGAGAGATAGTAGGAACTGCAGATGCTGGAGAATCTGAGATAACAAGGTGTAGAGCTGGATGAACACAGCAGGCCAAGCAGCATCAGAGGAGCAGGAAAGCTGACGTTTCGGGCCTAGACCCTTCTTCAGAAATGGGGGAGGGGAAGGGGGTTCTGAAATAAATAGAGAGAGAGGGGGAGGCGGATAGAAGATGGATAGAGGAGATGATAGATAGAGAGGAATGGTGAGATGTTTTATGACTGGTCAAGTCAAACTGGATTAATCCTGTGCGAAAACTTGGGATTGGCTTATTTACACAATTGGCCAAGAAAAGGAATTCAAAGAAAAGGAAATCTTTTGGCCAGCCTTGGAAGTTCAGGCAGGGCAGAAGTAGGGTATAAGACCAACTTTAAAAGATGACCATGCTACTTTGGAGCTATGCAAGACCTTTGTTGATGTTACTAAAATGCATATCTCAGTTAGGTAAACAAGCTTGCATATCAAAATCACCATTTCTGGCAAACTTCTTAAAATCCACTGCAGATGTTAATAAAGTACATAACTCACTGAGATAAGCAACTTTGCACATCATAATCTCCATTTAGAACAAACCTCTTAAAATCTGCTGTAAATGTTACTAAAATGCAGAACTCAGTGAGATAAACATGTTTGAACAACAAAAGCACCACATCTTGCAAAGTTCTCCAAAATGCAAGCAAACTTCTTAAAATCTGTTGTACATGTTACTAAAGTGCCTAACTCATTGAGATAAGCAAGTTTAAATGACCAAAGCTCCAGTTCTAACAACACCTTAAAATGTGCTGTACATATTATTAAAGTGAATAACTTGGTGAGATAACAAGGTGTAGAACTGGATGAACACAGCAGGCCAAGCAGCATCAGAGGAGCTGTGTTCATCCAGCTCTACACCTTGTTATCTCAGATTCTCCAGCATCTGCAGTTCCGACTATCTCTGAAACAACTTGATGAGATAAGTAGGTTTGCACAACAAAATCAAGATTTCTAGCAAACTTCCCCAAACGCTGGCATATTCTTATCATGTGTTGCTGACATTTCTAAAGTGCGTAACCCAGTCAGATATGCAACTTTGCATATCAAAATTACCATTTCTAGTAAACTTCTTAAAATCTGCTGTACATTACTAAAGTGCATAACTCATTGAGATAAGCACTTCTGAGCCACAAAATCAGCATCTCTTGCAAACTTCTCCAAAATACTAGCATATTCTTAAAACCTGTAGCAGATGCTACTAAAGTGCAAAACTCAGTGAGAAAAGCAACTGTACACATCAAAATCTCCATTTTGAATAAACTTCTTAAAATCTGTTGTAAATGTTACTTAAGTGCATGAACTGGTGAGATAACCAAGTCTGCATCACAAAATCAATATTTTGAGCAAACTCCTCCAAGATGCTTGCATATTCTTAAAATCTGTTGTATATGTTACTATATTGAGTTTAAGAGCCATGAGGTTATGCTGCAGCTCTATAAAACCCTGGTTAGACCACACTTGGAATATTGTGTTCAGTTCTGGTTGCCTCATTACAGGAAGGATGTGGAAGCTTTAGAGAGGGTGCAGAGGAGATTTACCAGGAAGCTGCCTGGACTGGAGGGCAGATAACATTGTTTCTCTCCACACGTGCTCTCTGACCTGCTGAGTATTTCCAGTAATTTCTGTTTTTATTTTATATTTTCAGAATCTTTTGTATTTTCTACAATTTGTGTTAATTCTTGATCAGGAAAATAAAAGCTGGACTTTTAAGGCATCAAACTTTGTATATAAAAGTGAATGGGTTTGGAAGTAGGTGGCAGAGCTGTACTGGTGGCTTAAAGTGTTGTAATTTACAGAGCATTGGCAAACCAGCCCCAAACCCCTGGCTTTAAATTTTGACAGCTTTGTGTAAGCCATCCAAATGAGAGAGGCAAATCGTTAATTTCATTGTTAATAACTCACTCAATGAGAGTGATACTAACATGGGTTCTGGGATTTAGTTCATTGGGTTCACTGGGGACTTCCCAAAATTCAGTGGTGAAGGAAATGTGAGATGATGATCTAGGTAAATACTCAGAAACCAATGACGAGCAATAGCAGAGGAGATCAATAACAGAATGCAGCTCAAGGACCTAGATTCACTGCAGGAAGAAGTTTAAGCTCTCACACAAATGATCAAAGTTAATGAATACCTGTTTAACTATCATATCCCAAAACTGCATTGCTAACCTCATCCACTGCTCAAATCACCACACCACATCATTCACGTAAAAACAATTTCTATCAACCATATCTGCAATATACATGTTTTACATCACCCTCACACACTTTAAACAATGGTAAACCTCAATCCGACATTTCACAAATTGCACACACCTGATAATTATTCAAATGTGGCTGTGACAACAACCAAAGTTAATCCATAACACTCACTGATACATGTGCTTCTCTCTTGCAGGAGAGTGTGGTACTAAACAATAGTCACTGAACATAACTGGAATAGGCCTGGCATCTCTGTGTAGAAGACAGTATTGATAATGAACTGGGAAGGGACATTGCTGACACCCTCATCCTTCCCTTTTCTAAGAGCTTGTCTTGATCCACGTGGCTTCTGCTCATTCTCTCAGTCTTTATCAATGCCAAGAGGAAATCCTACCAGGCCACCAATATCTGAAAATCACCAGTTTGTGCACAAACCATTTAAGACCCTGGTAAAAGAGACCGGTAATGCCCTGTAGATTATTGAAACAATAAGCAAACATGGAAAAGCACCAAAAAATGTATGGAACTGCAATAACAAAGAGAAGAAATAATCCGGCAATTTACCTGCAAATAGTTGATGATGCATTAAAAATATTGATAGGGGATTTTTTCATAACTGTGAATGTTAGTTCAGCTGTACAAAGTCACGAAAGGATGTAAGCTAGAGTAAGGAGCTCCCTAATGTCAATGCTGACATCAGTTCAGTATTGCACACTAATTCCTGGCATCATGATTTGTCTGTTCTACATGTCGCATATACACAGGCTCCTCATCAAGTATGCAGTCCGGCACACTTCACACTGCAGATGTACGTGCACATCATGAACATAGGACTTTTGTAGTTTTAGGGACCTTGTAGCATCCATAAAGACAGGTATAAAAACAGGAGTATTCTTTAACTGCAAGTACAAAGAACACATATGACGGTAATCTCTCACTGATTTTGTGGTTTTAAGGGATGCTGTGCATCAGCGGACAACAATTTTGGAAGTTACTGAAAAATATTGTAACTGTACCTCTACCCATGGTGCTCTTAAACACAACGATTCCCAGCTTGCCTAAGAATGACAAATGAGTGGCCATTGTTGATAACTGAATATATATCACTGTCTATCAGTGTAAGAAAGCTTTGGGTATAAATCACACTTTGTGTGTTAAGTATGTTTGGCAAAATAAAGTAGATTGTGAGAATCTTTTCCCAATTGCAGATGTGTCTAAGACCAGACGGCATAAGGTGAGGAGCAAATGGTTCGGAGGAGATGTGAAAAAGAATTTTTTTCACCCTGAGGGTGGTAGAAATATGGAACTAGCTGCCCGAGAGGGTGGTGGAGGCAGGTATTCTTACAACATTTAATAAACATCTGGATAAGCACTTAAAATACCAGGGCATAGTAGCCTCCAGGCCAACTGCAGGTAAATGGGATTAGTGCAGTTTGGTGTTTGTTGGTCAGCATAGACATGATAGGCTGAAGGGCCTTTTTCTATGCTGTATGATGCTATGACTCTAGATTGGCAAACTTACCAAAAATAAAAAAAAGCTGAATTAATTTCAGATAGTGATTTGAAACCATGGCACAGAAGAAGCCCTTAGGGCATGTTTGAATCATCTTTATATTCAGCTGACATGTAGCAGAATTAACGTTATTTATTTTGACTTTTACTTCCAGCTCGAATTAAATGGTTTCCATCTGATCCCCAACTTATATCTGAAGGCCTCTATGCAATAGCGGTTGTGATGAGCTTCTCTCGAATTGCATACATTCTTCCTGCTAATGAAAGCTTTGGACCTTTACAAATATCTCTGGGAAGAACTGTGAAAGACATATTCAAATTCATGGTCATATTCATCATGGTTTTTGTAGCATTCATGATTGGGATGTTTAATCTTTATTCACACTACCTGGGAGCAAAGCAAAACAATGCATTTACAACGTAAGTACTAATACAGATTTCATTGTTTTTAATGGACTACTTGCACCTTGATATTTCCAAATCTTATGGATAAGAAGTAAGATTACCATTTATACTGTAAGACTACTGTTAAAATTATTGCCTGGAAGCTTTTCCAGTTAGATTTCTGATCTATTAAAGTGGATTTGTATTTGTATTTGAAGAAAGACTGTGTATATTTAATTATTTTCTTAATGCTAATTTGGATCAAATTAAGAAAAATGATGATTTGCCCGATTTAGAGTGTGAAGATGGTACCCAATTCTTCTCATAGTGCATTGTAAACATGGCTGATATTGTCTATTGAAACATTAAATTTTGAGATATTCCCCCTATTTAACACCTTTTCTCTTAAAGTGCTTGACAATATTGCTGTGATAATTTTTAGATACAACTAAATGAAATCAGGGTTTTTTATTTGTGGTGCAGTAGTCTGGAGGCACAAACTGTCTGGATTCACATGGAAAGGATCAATATTTCAGTAAAGTAAGAGGGTTGTCTATACAAATTGAAACATTGGATGCCAAAGTATCAATGCCTTTAAGTGAGATAGGGAGAAAGATGGAAGAAAATTGAGTCTTCTGACTCTTTTGTCATGGTTGCATGAATATGTCCTATAGTTATGCTGAATAGTACCATTTAGCATTGTCTAAATAAACATTTAAATGTAATCATATTTTCTAGCATTTGTTGCAAGTTATACATTACTCCTGGCCTAATTTGAGATAGCGACACCAAATTAGACTTGAACTAAAGGCAGCTGCACTGATGATGGCTTTTAAGGCTAGAAATTATTGTTTTTCTTCCGTTTAAAGCCTAAAGTCTAAGCTTTTTTATTACCAAATATAAATCTGCCCATGAAACAACAATTTTACTGCTTTCCTAACTTCTGGACTCATACCAGAACAATGACACGGAAGGTTCAATTGTGAGGATCCGCACCTCTTTAACAGTAACATCCAGCAGTTTGAACCATGTAAATAGCATCTATGTGGCCAGGCTACTGGTATATCAGAATGTGACAAAATCTCAAAAAAGGTGAATTACCTGAACCCATGGGAGTTAGCACTTAATGAGAAAAATATTATAAAACTCCAGCGTTCTGCCAAAGTAAGTAAACTTTATTACTTGCATTTGATATAAGTAATTCTTCCAAACTGCTCAACCTTCTCTGTTTCCCCATGTAAACCATGTTGAAGATTGTCCACAGTGCAGTGCAAGAATGAAAAGGATTTAAAAAAAGTCCAACAACAGTAAAATGGGTTATACTTACAGAAGAAAAACATAATGAATACATTAACTAATCTTTGTATACAGACATTGCAATCAGGACAGAGGAGTGAGAAATATTGAATTAAATTAACATTTTGAGAGTGGAAGTAAATATTTTCAATCAACTTGTTTTAGACACATTATGAACCACCTCTGTTGGGGGTAGTGGAACTTGAACCTGGCACCTTAGCTCAGTGGTGGGGACAGTGAAAGAGGAAGTGTGAGAAGTTTCAATGTCAGTGAAAGTGGATAAGTTCCCAGGCCCTGAACTGATAAGGGGAGTATGAAATAGCAGAAGCTTTGACCATAACTTTCCAATTCTCTCTGGTTAGTGTGTGGTACCAGAGGACTGGAGAACAAGTAGCATTATTCCATTTAAAAGGGAGAAATAGATTGACCAAGTAATTTCAGACCAGTCAACCTATCGTCCGTGACAGGAAAATGATTGTAAAACATTCTGGGAAAATCTTAATTTAGAAAAATGTGGATTAGTCAAAGCCAGTCATCATGGACCAGTTCAAGAAAGATTAAATGCAAAGTACAATGTATTTCTTCTAGAAACTGTAGTAAAAATATTTTACAAACAGACCTTCTGCATCAACTTTGCCAATTTGATTCTCCCAAGTCTAACACAAACCTAAAGGTTTCCCACAATTATTTCATCCCTTTTGTAATAAACAGTTTTTTTTCATGTTTAGTGCTGTCTTCAATGGTGTAACTATTATTAGGGGGCTAGAAACTGCTCCCAATGTGTTCCAACTCTTGCTATTCCTAACCCGCGTCCATATTCTGAGGAAGGGTCACTGGACCCGAAACATTAGCTCTGACTTCTCTCCACAGATGCTGCCAGACCTATTGAGGTTTTCCAGCAATTTCTGTTGTCGTTCCCATCCATATTTCCTCCATTTTGCAACTTCCTGAGCCCAGGCCCTTTCTCACTGACTGTCAGGCCTATCCCTCATCCTTTGCAATCAAAACATTGGCCTGGAATTTCCATTTTCTCGGTTAATGTTGACCTGTGGGCTTCAGTATCAATCAGGCTCCATCCCTCTGGAGATTGGTGGCCAATCAGAGGCCGGCAGTCACTGTTTGTAGCAGGTGATACACCCAAGACTGAAGCTGTTGCTGAATAACAGCCTGAGCCATTTGGGAGCAATGGAAAGATCAGTCATTGTGTGGGGATGCTCATGGGGCAGGTTGGGGGTTCACAAGCAGAGGAAGTTGGCGTATAGGGCAGGGATTGGCTTTCACTGGTTACCTCTAGAACCACCCCCACCCCCCCAGTCTGTGCCCCCATTTGCCTCTAGATTAGGGCAAATAGATCTCCACCTCCAACCTCCCAGGGAGAAAATCCAGTAAAATAACAGGAATACTTACAAAATGTATGTACTGGTTACCTGGAGCATTATTCTGAGGTATGCAAAACAAATCGGACTAATATGTATCATTCACAAGTTTTACTGATTTGTCCTTCTGGAAAGCAGGTAAATTGAGCTGATAGCATGTTCAGGCCCTTAAATAGTCAATAATTAACCACACTTTGGCTGTAATTCGTGGGTAATTTGCAAGGCCAACTATAAACCATCCTGCTCAGGCCCTAATTGCTAACGCAACAGGAAGGGGGTGGGTGTCACACAGAGTTAACCTGCCTACCCTGATAATTTGGTCTTGTCCTAGCTTACCCATCACTTCTAGACAGGATACATTCTCCCCATTCTGTTCCCAAGAATATTTATTTCCCACGTTCTGCTCGCAAAAAAGACCTTGAACTATCTGTTGCCTGCCACTTCAATGCACCACCTTGCTCCCTGGCCAACATCTCTGTCTCCGGCTTGCTACAGTGTTCCAGTGAATCTCAACGCAAGCTGGAGGAGCAACACCTCATTTTCCGCTTGGGGACCCTACAGCCCTCTGGACTCAATATTGAGTTCAATAATTTTAGGGCCTAAACTCTCCCATGTCCCAGCGCCCCACCCCACGCCTTGTTACCACATAGCGTGCCACTACACACCCCCTGTTGTTAGTCACTAACAGTCCCCATTAACAACTATTCACCCTCCCAGCCTGATGGTTAGCAACTCCTTTGTCTGTCCAACTGGCTTTCTCTCTCTTTGGGCTCTATCCTATTGTTTACTCCCTACCCCACCCACCTTCCTATTTTCTGCATATAAACTGACGTTTTCCCAGTCACCATCAGTTCTGAGGAAGGGTCACCGGACCTGAAACGTTAACTCTGTTTTCTCCTCCACAGATGCTGCCAGACCTGCTGAGCTTTTCCAGCAACTTTGTTTTTGTTCCTGATTTACAGCATCTGCAGTTCTTTTGGTTTTTAATATTTATTTCCCACCTTTTAAACTATATCTTTGTAATGGCTATCAAATTTAAACCATTTACTTTTGCCACTGTCTCATCTATCGTATTGTGGATACATCACATGTTCACATATGAAAATTTAATTGAATTCTTTTGCAACAGTACCTTATTCAGTGTGGAATTACTGTTACTCATTGTCCCTGCTGTCTCATTCTGCTTATCTTTATCCACATTACTACACTATTCTATTGCATTGACTTTTTTTCTTGGATTTCTAGATCCCCATTCACTTCCAACCCTCCTTCACCCCTGCTAGTTTAAAATCCTGGCCACAGCTGTAGTTGTCTGAATGGTTAGCACATGGAGATGGTTTAAGTGGACCCCTCCCAGAAGAATATTTTTCTTTTTGTTGAAATGGCCAATGACATTGAACAAAAACCTGTTCTTCTTTGCTCTGTCTTTGAGCTAAGTGTTTTATTCTGTAGTCTGCCAGTTGAGACATAGCTCAGGTAGAAATACAGAGATAATTAAATAGATACATTGGTTTTTCCACTGACAATGACCAGCCAATGAAACTGTTACTGATTGCTTATCTTCCTGTATTTTAATATTGTGCACAAAACTGTCAAGATTGGATGGTCTTTACTGAATAGAAAGAGTGTTACACTTTTGAAAAAAGAAAATAAGCTCAAAACTGATTGAATTAAATCATTCCAATTGTTTATAGGATTGGGGAATAGTGAAGCTAGAAGCTCCCCCAGACCAATAGCTGTTGTGATTATATTCACGTTAAACCATCATCCTCAATTTGATCTGCATCATGGAGGCCACCGTACAATTAAAACAGCACTTCACTTTACTATGCAAGGGTTTTCATGTTGTGTCCTTCTGTCTTTTTCTGTGAATGAAGGAACATAAAGGACTATGCATACAAGCTGTGTCACCACAGCAATATGTACTCTGGCCATAATTGTCACATGCGATTGAGAAAAAACAGGGGTTGTGTTACAGTGTCCAAGTGGGCAGGAACATTTTGGGAAGTGGGAATCAGGAGGTGGGATTTAGATTTTCACAGGAGTACGCCCTTCATTGATATGGACATGGGTTTATGGTCCACTTCAAGCCAGTTGGGGTGACAATGCAGGTGGACCAGATGAATTGTGTGTCTCATTTAGAGGCTGTTGTTTGTCCTACAGGAGAAATCTGAAGTTTGTGCCATGGTTTTCCACATCACCAGACAAAAGCCAAATGTCACAGAGGAGCCAAAGGCTTTACACCTGGGTTAGCACTGTGTGTCACCTCACTGACATTGATCCAGATCTAATAGCAGACGCAGTAAGGGAGAAGTGGGGGGTCTTCTTCCTAGAGGGATGGAGATGGAGACTATCTTGTAATGCAGCAGGAATACCTCTCTGTTGAGTCTCTTCTGTCTCCTTCTCTAAGTCCTTCCACTCTACCTCCTCCTCCTCCTGCAACTCTCCCAACAAGCTGACCAGGCCCTCACCACTGTCAAGATCTGTACCCCTCTGATGGGCCATATTTTGTAGACAAGCTCTTGCAAAGGGTATCAGACTGCACTACCTGACTAATACTGCATGTTCAGAAGCCTAAAGGCCTCCATATCCTACTGAGAAGGTGGCATTCACTGTATCATCCTAGTGCCTCCATCAGGAACTCCCTTAGAGGCTTCAGTGGCCATGTATTCAAGGGACTTCCTTTCTCCTAGTATCCAAGATCACAATTTGTGAGTTGGAAGAAAGATCGAAAGGACTGGACTGGCAGAAGAAATAAAATGTCTTGGCATCTACCAGTAAAAAAGTAAGTGCAGCTATGGAGAAGGCTGTTGTTATGGTTGCAGACCAGTTAGATTTTGAGAGAGTAAAGACATTTTCCATTGATGCGTCTCACTGACTGGTGTCTCCGTACCTTTTTATAGGGGCAATTGAAGGTGGCCTGCACCTGGTGTATTTCAGCAGTGACCATGAGACCCACTGCCTTCAAGGCCATGTCTTTTGTTAAAGGAGTGGGCTGTTCAGTTCTGGCAAAGAGGGCTTTGTGAGTAACAAGAGTGCAGCTGTTTTGAGATATTACTAAGGTCCATAGGAAAACAATCCATTGTATTAATTAGTCCAGAGGGAGAAGGATGAGTGAATATGGGCCACATTGCTTCTGATAAAGTCATGTTTTATTGATGGTATTCGAGAAAGCCTTTCCAGATTATTTGTACAATTACAGTTAAAATTGTATTAGATGTTAGCCAAGACAAATGTGTATCTTGATGGATTTTATGGCACACAGAGGAACCTTCTGGAATAGCAATTACATTCGAAAATGACAGCCTCATTTAATATGTCAAAACTTGGACTGAAATCTCCACTACCTTAACCATGACAAGGGGATTTCTGATACAGTACATGTTGTACCCAGATGTAGCAACACATCTGTGCTCATAATTAAATGGCTAACATTTGATTATCTAAAATTGCCAGTTTGAGTCCTAATCCACACATCACTTTCTCATCATTAAAAAAATGATTGGTTGATTAACAATGAGAATTCCAATGATTCTCAAATTTTTTACACCATTTTCAGATTATTTAGAGGCGCTGAATCATATCATATCTGTCAAGTGATAAACTCTGTACTAAAATTGTAAGAAACAGACTGATATGGTTTTATGTTCACAATGTAAGGTACTGAATTTTTTCATGTTAAAAAGTAACCAGCACTTCAGTTTTATCATTCCCCAGACATTAATGAGAAAAGAGTTTTGTACAGCGAGGGTTGAAAGGGCTGCCAAAATAGTGCAGAATATAACCAAGCCCAGAACTGAGTGGCGTGATTTCTTCTGATTATATGAGACTATGCACTTCATGAACATCACAATGAGTCATTTTTAGATTGGCACAATTGAAATAAAAGCATTGTTTCATGAACGTTTACCAAGGGCTAGTATCTCTCATTGCACCCATACCTACCTATTAATTCTGTCTGACAATCATATCCTGATCTTCTAATTCTTGGTGTAGCTACTTTGCAACTTTGTGAGTCCAGGTTATTTCCTGTTTAGTGTGTAGAAGTGTTTCCTAACATCACCCTTGAATGACTCTAATTCCAATATTTTTAAGATTATCGCTCATTGTTTTGGACTTCATAGTTCCTCACTATTTACCCTGTCAAACCTTTAAAAGTACAAGTTAAAAATTATAGCTCTAATAAAAACCTAGGAGATAAGGAAAACAGCATATTCTGAAAATATAAAATAAAAACACAAAGTGCTAGTAGTAAGTGACAAGTCTGTTAACATCTGTAAAGAGAGAACATGGACTCCAGGTTAAAACAAAAGCTTTTCATTAGTATTTAATGAAGTGAGATCCTAGGACCAACCAAAGCAGAGGGAAAGGGAGTGGAAGTAGGTTACAAAAAACACACTGATCAAATATAAAGAGGCAGAAAATGAGCTTAAGTGTTTCCTAACGTCGCTTTTTTATAACTGGGGAAAATGGGAAAAATACTAGATGGTATCAGATGATCATCTCAATTAGAACAGGATAAAACCATTGAAAAGAAAAAGAGTCAAACATCTTCAATTTAGAAGGAAGCAAAGTATGATGGAATGTGAAATGCTTTAGATAGAAGTGTCCCACTTGTACGTTTCCCTATTTAGATATTAAACATGAAGCTGCCCACTAATGACAAATAACTGATGGTTTTCACCTAAATAATGTATTCATTCTGGCGCAATGATTATTTTGTCCATTTTCTGTTCTTATTTCTGATTTTCAGCATTTGTAATATTTGAGTTTGATATTATTGTTTAGTTCAGTGATACTCCTCTTCCCAGAATGCCTACTTCGGAACAGTCTTCTTCACCCTGACAGGATTACGTTTGCTTCTTTTGCCTTCACACCTTCACTGCTTTCTGTTCCCCTCGTCATTTGGATCAGATATATTGAAACAACCCTGTTCATTGCAACATGCCCATTCTCAACAACTGACACAACTTATTATGTTTCAGATCCATCCTTGCTTTAAGATAATTGCAAGATGTTCACCATTTCTTGAATTACATTTCTTGAACTCAGACTAAATCCACACTCAGACCATACACTTTCATATTCATTCCATTTCTAACACTTCTCTCCTTCTTTTCCCACAATGAAGACAGGGTTCCATCCGTACTTAATCTTGACCCCATCAACCTCTTTTGTAGTTTTAGCCACTTCCAACTTAATGGTATCATCAAATATATCTTCCCCTCCTTTCAGCATTCTGATGGGGCCATTCCCTTGGTAACACCCTGACCCACTTTTCAATCGCCTCAAACAGCCCTTTTCCTTCCCTTGACACTTTCCTGTGTAAGTACAGCAGATGTAAGGTCTGCAGATGGACGTCTGCTTTTTTATATTATCCTTTTGTACTCTCCAGACAAACATTCCAAAGTGAAGCAGTGATTTACTTGTGTTTTCACTTTAACAGTGTGCGCTTTTGCTGATTATAATACAGGTTTCTCTCCTCTGGAGAGATCAAAGCAATGATTCCAAGTTTTCAGTTGCCTGCCATTTTAATTCTTCATCTCCCTTCCCCTCCGACCTCTCTGTCATCAGCTTATTACAAAGTTCCAATAAAATTTGGTGATAGGTTTTAAAAGCTCGGTGACAATGCTCATCTTGTTTAGCAGCTGGGTCATAGACAATGTCCCATTAGTTAAAAGGAGGCTGATCTTTAATCAGAAGTCCTCTCTGAATCTAGAACCTCTGTAACCTCTCTCTTCAAGTCCATCCCACCCCATCACCCCCTTCTCATAATGAACTGCATTAATCTCGACCTCCCATGAAATTTAACATAGACTTCAGGAACAGCAGTTATAGTAGGAACTGCAGATGCTGGAGAATCCAAGACAACAAGGTGCAGAGCTGGATGAACACAGCAGGCCAAGCAGCATCATAGGAGCAGAAAGGCTGACGTTTCGGGCCTAGACCCTTCATCAGAAATGGGGGAGGGGAAGGGGGTTCTGAAATAAATAGGG